ATGGTGACGCTCAGCCTCTCCCCTTAACTCCTAACAGTCATCATCATGGTGACGCTCAGCCTCTCCCCTTAACTCCTAACAGTCATTATCATGGTGACGCTCAGCCTCTCCCCTTAACTCCTAACAGTCATCATCATGGTGACGCTCAGCCTCTCCCTTAACTCCTAACAGTCATCATGGTGACGCTCAGCCTCTCCCCTTAACTCCTAACAGTCATCATCATGGTGACGCTCAGCCTCTCCCCTTAACTCCTAACAGTCATTATCATGGTGACGCTCAGCCTCTCTCCTTAACTCCTAACTGTCATCATCATGGTGACGCTCAGCCTCTCCCCTTAACTCCTAACAGTCATCATCATGGTGACGCTCAGCCTCTCCCCTTAACTCCTAATCAGTCATCATCATGGTGACGCTCAGCCTCTCCCCTTAACTCCTAACAGTCATCATCATGGTGACGCTCAGCCTCTCCCTTAACTCCTAACAGTCATCGTCATGGTGACGCTCAGCCTCTCCCCTTAACTCCTAACAGTCATCATCATGGTGACGCTCAGCCTCTCCCCTTAACTCCCTAACAGTCCTCATCATGGTGACGCTCAGGCCTCTCCCCTAACTACTAACAGTCATCATCATGGTGACGCTCAGCCTCTCCCCTTAACTCCTAACAGTCATCATCATGGTGACGCTCAGCCTCTCTCCCTTAACTCCTAAACAGTCATCATCATGGTGACGCTCAGCCTCTCCCCTAAACTCCTAACAGTCATCATCATGGTGACGCTCAGCCTCTCCCCTTACCCCTAACAGTCATCATCATGGTGACGCTCAGCCTCTCCCCTTAACTCCTAACAGTCATCATCATGGTGACGCTCAGCCTCTCCCCTTAACTCCTAACAGTCATCATCATGGTGATGCTCAGCCTCTCCCCTTAACTCCTAACAGTCATCATCATGGTGACGCTCAGCCTCTCTCCTTAACTCCTAACAGTCATCATCATGGTGACTGTTCAGCCTCTCCCCTTAACTCCTAACAGTCATCATCATGGTGACGCTCAGCCTCTCCCCTTAACTCCTAACAGTCATCATCATGGTGACGCTCAGCCTCTCCCCTTAACTCCTAACAGTCATCATCATGGTGACGCTCAGCCTCTCCCCTTAACTCCTAACAGTCATCATCATGGTGACGCTCAGCCTCTCCCCTTAACTCCTAACAGTCATCATCATGGTGACGCTCAGCCTCTCCCCTTAACTCCTAACAGTCATCATCATGGTGACGCTCAGCCTCTCCCCTTAACTCCTAACAGTCATCATCATGGTGACGCTCAGCCCTCTCTCCTTAACTCCTAACAGTCATCATCATGGTGACGCTCAGCCTCTCCCCTTAACTCCTAACAGTCATCATCATGTGACGCTCAGCCTCTCCCCTAACTCCTAACAGTCATCATCATGGTGACGCTCAGCCTCTCCCCTTAACTCCTAACAGTCATCATCATGGTGACGCTCAGCCTCTCCCCTTAACTCCTAACAGTCATCATCATGGTGACGCTCAGCCTCTCTCCTTAACTCCTAACAGTCATCATCATGGTGACGCTCAGCCTCTCCCCTTAACTCCTAACAGTCATCATCATGGTGACGCTCAGCCTCTCTCCTTAACTCCTAACAGTCATCATCATGGTGACGCTCAGCCTCTCCCCTTAACTCCTAACAGTCATCATCATGGTGACGCTCAGACCTCTCCCCTTAACTCCTAACAGTCATCATCCATGGTGATGCTCAGCCTCTCCCCTTAACTCCTAACAGTCATCCATCATGGTGACGCTCAGCCTCTCCCTTAACTCTAACAGTCATCATCATGGTGATGCTCAGCCTCTCCCCTTAACTCCTAACAGTCATCATCATGGTGACGCTCAGCCTCTCCCCCTTAACTCCTAACAGTCATCGTCATGGTGACGCGTCAGCCTCTGCCCTTAACTCCTAACAGTCATCATCATGGTGACGCTCAGCCTCTCCCTTTAACTCCTAACAGTCATCATCAGGTGACGCTTCAGCCTCTCACCCTTAACTCCTAGCAGTCATCATCATGGTGACGCTCAGCCTCTCCCCTAACTCCTAACATCATCATCATGGTGATGCTCAGCCTCTCCCCATTAACTCCTAACAGTCATCATCATGGTGATGCTCAGCCTCTCCCCTTAACTCCTAACAGTCATCATCATGGTGACGCTCAGCCTCTGCCCCTTAACTCCTAACAGTCATCATATGGTGACGCTCAGCCTCTCCCCTTAACTCCTAACAGTCATCATCATGGTGACGCTCAGCCTCTCCCCTTAACTCCTAACAGTCATCATCATGGTGACGCTCAGCCTCTGCCCATAACTCCTAACAGTCATCATCATGGTGACGCTCAGCCTCTCCCCATAACTCCTAACAGTCATCATCATGGTGACGCTCAGCCTCTCTCTTTAACTCCTAACAGTCATCATCATGGTGACGCTCAGCCTCTCCCCTTAACTCCTAACAGTCATCATCATGGTGACGCTCAGCCTCTCTCCTTAACTCCTAACAGTCATCATCATGGTGACGCTCAGCCTCTCCCCTTAACTCCTAACAGTCATCATCATGGTGACGCTCAGCCTCTCCCCTTAACTCCTAACAGTCATCATCATGGTTACGCTCAGCCTCTCTCCTTAACTCCTAACAGTCATCATCATGGCTGACGCTCAGCCTCTCCCCTTAACTCCTAAACAGTCATCATCATGGTGACGGCTCAGCCTCTCCCCCTTAACTCCTAACAGTCATCATCATGGTGACGCTCAGCCTCTCCCCTTTAACTCCTAACAGTCATCATCATGGTGACGCTCAGCCTCTCCCCTTAACTCCTAACAGTCATCATCATGGTGACGCTCAGCCTCTCCCCCTTAACTCCTAACAGTCATATCATGGTTGACGCTCAGCCTCTCCCCCTTAACCTCCTAACAGTCATCATCATGGTGACCCTCAGCCTCTCCCCTTAACTCCTAACAGTCATCATCATGGTGACGCTCAGCCTCTCCCCTTAACTCCTAACAGTCATCATCATGGTGACGCTCAGCCTCTCCCCTTAACTCCTAACAGTCATCATCATGGTGACGCTCAGCCTCTCCCCTTAACTCCTAACAGTCATCATCATGGTGACGCTCAGCCTCTCCCTCCTTAACTCCTAACAGTCATCATCATGGTGACGCTCAGCCTCTCCCCTTAACTCCTAACAGTCATCATCATGTCAACCACAACACAGAGAAGTACTGATAGCAATGTGTGTGTAGTTGTTGATGCATTGCTGACAGAGGGAACTAGAATACAGATTTAAGAAATATCAGTTTTTGAGCATGTCATAAGCATGTTTTGTCTTGACTATATTACAACTATATTATGATAAAATAATATAGTATTTATATAATTGAATTGATTATTATTAGTAGAAGTAGTTTATTTGCATTAATCATATTGTAATCTTTTTGAGGCTAGTATTTGGCAGGAAATGCAGACGTACCTGTAAACGCATACTGAACGACATACATGCACATTTACCATTTACCTCACTGTATAAAAAAGTAACTGTTGATAATAATAATAATAATAAACAGGAATTATATTTGCAAAGTAGCCTACTTTGTTTCCAAAAAATGTGTTTCACTCCTGTCGGTTGGGGGGGGGGGCCTCATCTCACAATGTCGCTTGGGGCCCCAAGTTGGCCAGGGGCGGCCCTGACCATATATGGAAATGTGCACCATGTCCAGTAACCTGGTTCATGTTCCTCAGAGTTGCAGAAGATGCTGACGCTCTGTTCAGTAATGAAATAGACCTTATTTCAGGCGAGTGCCAGGTAAGAGACACTTTGAAAAGCTCTGCTTCAAAGCAGCTCCGCCTCTTTGTGTTGTCCTTTATCAGCAGGTGGTGTTTGTACGTCTCTCTGTAGTAACTCAGTCCCTTGGTGCTCATTCTGTCTCTTTCTGGTCACGCTTCATTGTGGTCACTTTGAGGGTCTATATTCTTATGAACCATTCAAACCTAAAAGCTTACAAGCTTTAAAGTTACCTACAGATTTAAATCATCAGAAAAAGTCTTGTGACAGAAAACAGAATCCAGCTCAAAACGTAAATAGAGCGGCATGTTTAGAAGAATGCGTTTGGTTGGTTGTAAGAGGGACGAGGCGCGTCAGGTGTTAACGTATGATTGGTGCTTGAGTTGTCTGCCTGAACTAGCTCGCAGGCTTCGCCCCATATGTGTGTGGTAGTGATGGGAATCATTTGGCTCACCAAGAAGAGCCGGCTCTTCCGGTTCCCAAACGGCTCTTCATTTGACCACGTATACCTTTTCAATCGAATGTAGCTCTGTTTTGATGAATTATATGTGTAAACATATTTAACTTTAATATAAATGCTGTGGCCAATTGTGTTCCTTGCATTTACAGACCCTTGTAACTCTCTGATTGTAGAACCACGCTAAACACGTAGGCGGCGTGTGAGGCTCAGGTTGGGAAGGCTAAAGAACTTTTGCTAACACTTATATTAAGGTACACAAATTAACCATCAACTAGTTGTTAACTAACATGCATATTATCAGTATATTAGCTCTTTATTAGCCATTATAAAACACTTATTAATGCCTTATTCTGCATGACCATATTCTCCAAGTAATAAGCCATTAGTTGAGAGTTTTTCCTCAATAACCCTCTAATTAGTGCTGATTTATTGCAAGTAAGGAAGTTGTTGAACATGAGTTTTGGTCTCTGCTCAATATGGGCCTAATAAGGCAGCAGTACCACAAGAATAGTCTCCCACAATAACACTTAACAAATATGATCTATTCTTATGTAACAAGACATGAAACTATAAGTGTTAATTGAGTCTAAATAACAAAACATTTGGTATTTATATCTAAGAACATGTTTTGAATGTTAGACATGGAACATATGGAATCATTCATTTATATACTCGTAATATCATGATGAATGACATGAAACCCATTGAGTTGTTCAGCACTCTTTATTTGTTGTTAATCACCTTTGAAACAGGGAAGAGTAGCCAAAGCTGCTCGATGGCAGTCACCAGAACAACATATTTTGCAAATGTATTTGTTTGTTTCTCAGAGCCAGTGAGAGAGAATCAAAGGCTGCATGTAAAGACTTATGGTCGGATACATCTTTGAAGTGTTACTGACTGAGTTAGACGAAGGAGTAGGTGTAATGAAGGGTGCCACCTTCTTCAAGAACGCATTCATGCTCATGGGTTCCCAGCTTAATTATCCGCCGGCAGACTCCAAGCAGCTCATCGGACCCGAAGTCCTCGTCATAAACCTCAAGCCTCATCACGCCATACTCTCGGGCGTGGAAGTAAGTGAACTCTTCCTCCCACCAGGGGTTTTGGTCGTTGTCGCGAAACTGATGTTTCACCCAGAGGGGTAGATCCGTAGAAAATCTTGACATAGCCATCCGGGGATCCCAGAAAGCTTGAATCAAGTTTGCTGGCCCGCAGGTCAAACACCTTGAGCTGGGCTTCAGCCACTGTCAGAGCGCACAGGACCAGGACCAGGAGCAGGAGCGGAGAACAGGAGGCCATGGCTGCAGGAGCTGTGGAAGATGAACACGTTAGAAACATGTCACTGGTCACCGGCTTGATCTTCAATATCAGGATGTCTTTATTATGCTTGCAAGAATGCTAGTCATCATCACATCAGGTTGCATGGGACAAAGAGTCACTTTAGTGGAGTCCTTGATATGCTACAAGAGAGGGTGTTACAGTCAACAAGACGGAAGAATACTGGTGTTTGTTTGAACTGGGTTTCCATTTACTTTGTATCTCTTAACCTTCAAAACACACATATCGATGGTGTGGAAAGCTCCCACACACTGCAGAAACAGCCCTTCCAAAAACAAGCTACATATTCTTGAATCAAGTCAGATGTTCCTGTATCAAGCAAAACAATCAGCCAATGGGGAGCGCCCACATTAGCTCGGCTAGGATTCCTAAAACTAGGATTAAAATCTAGCGACTGAAAGACCGGAACGGGCCTTGGGACTAGACACACATGCTTATTACAAGCAATGATTCCTGCATTATTTAAGAAAGAAGAACTTCAAGTGAGTGTTCTGGTTGAGTTGACTAAGAATGTACTTCTTAAATTAGATTTATAATTAGCAAAGAAAGCTTACAATAAGAATCATTGGCTTTAATTGGCACAATATATGAGTGACTTTGTCTTAAAGTTGAATGTAAATCTTACATTAAGTTTAAAAATGGTGTACACCACACCACAGCTACATGACATGTTACTTGTTAGACGCTTTTATCCAAAGCGACTAACATACTCAATACAGAGTCTATAGAACATGCTCTCAGCTCACTGTGTGTAGCTGGCATCCAGATGTTTGTATTGCAATTAGCTTGAGCTTTTCCTCACATGTGCAACACGCCATCGCAACACAGTGACAAACATGAGCAACACAGTGACAAACATGAGCAACACATTGAGCAAACATGCCGGTTGTTGAGACCCAAAATAAATGTTTGATCAAATGGGACTGCTAGACCAGGGGTGCCCAACCAGTCGACCGTGAGATGTGTCTAAAAATAGAACAACAATATTCTGTTTTATCGTTAATGTCCTGTAACATAATCTTCCTGTGCCAGAATAATGCACTTGAACGCATCAAAGCTTTGTGATTGGCCGGCGTGACCCCTGTGTCGGGGCGTCGCTGGTGGGCAGTGGGCAGTGCACTAGTTCGCTAACGTTGTCCGTGTCAACAGGAGTGACAGTCCGCACACACACAAGACCGCAATTATGGCAGAAGCAAAACATATATAATTTTCACTCCGAGTGGGAGGATGATTATTTTTGTATCTATTCCAATTCAAAGTCCATCCGTCTCATCTGCAATGCGAGCGTGGCTTTATCGAAGAAGGGTAATTTAGGAGCGGCATTTCAAAACAGTGCACAAACGCTACGAGACGGAATTCCCTCCTGATTCTGCCCTACGCTCCAAAAGGGGAGGGGCCTGAGAGGACAGCTAAATGCACAGCAGTCCATTTTCACCAGGCCCAACAACAAGAGCAAGGCTGCTACCAGAGCATCTTATCGGGTCAGTCACGTTCTTGAGAAACACATGAAGTCTTTCAAAGACGGCGAAGTTGTGAAAGAAGCATTCCTGGAGGCTGCCGACGCGCTTTTTGGGGACAGTAAAAATAACAGAAGCATTTCAACAGGTTTTTGATATAATAAAAACTCAAGTTAGATACCGTTATTAATCAGCTGTAAGCTGTTTGAACTTAGTCATTATAATTATTGTACAAAATGGTATAAGAATGCAAACTTAAATTGATTATAGTCTATCATCAATTCAGGTTCAGAAACTAGTGTTGCTTGCTTCCTATTTTAAAAGGCATTTCTTTTTATAATCTACTAAAATGCAACAAAAAAAGGGTTTGATTCTATTAATGTTGTCTTATTTATTGCACGTTGGCAGCAGATTCCTGTGTAGCTTCAGATCTGAGTCGTCTTATTAGTAAGCCTCATTTATAATTTTGTAGCAACACTATTTTTATATAATGGCAAAGAAAGGGTTCAGAGTCTTTTCTTTTCTTCTTGAGTCATATGTGGCAGCACTGTTCAATGTTTCTTGAAAACATTACCCACTGTAGTGACGTGTGAATAAACTCCAACTCTGTATCAACAACACAGTTGTGTAGCTTCAGTTCAATACTTGTATGTGTGTAGATTAGAAAGAGGTAAGATAAAGGATCTGCAGTATTTTACGGAGTATTAATCCTACGAAGGTCAGTTTTATACAAGTACAAGTGTGTATTTACCTGGTAGGAGGCTGTCAGTAATGCCTCTCTATTTGGACAGGTAGATCTCGGCAGACTGGCAACTTTAAAAGTAGCTCTCGGTTCAAAAAAGGTTGGGCACCCCTGTGCTAGACAAAGAACAGATGCTCCCGGCTCAGGTTACTCTGAAGAACTGAAAAGGTAAAGCACAAACGCTGTTCTGAGCAAAATGACAGGAACATTTGAATATTATTATGATGAACAGAGCAGTATTACCTGTAGTCCTGATGCTGGTCTCTCTGCACACTGTGTGCTCGTCCTTACGTTTTTAAAGGCCAGCAAACCTCTTATCAGCTTCATCCCGCCCTCCCACCACACATCGACCAACCTGCTACACGACCTGCTACTCGACCTGCTACACAACCTGCTACACGACCTGCTACACGACCTGCTACACGACCTGCTACACAACCTGCTACACAACCAGCTACACCACCTGCTACACAACCTGCTACACCACCTGCTACACAACCTGCTACAAGACCTGCTACACAACCTGCTACACAACCTGCTACAAGACCTGCTACACAACCTGCTACACAACCTGCTACACAACCTGCTACACAACCTGCTACACAACCTGCTACACGACCTGCTACACCACCTGCTACACAACCCGCTACACAACCCGCTACACAACCTGCTACACAACCTGCTACTCGACCTGCTACACAACCTGCTACACCACCTGCTACACAACCTGCTACTCGACCTGCTACACAACCTGCTACACCACCTGCTACACAACCTGCTACACAACCTGCTACACAACCTGCTACACCACCTGCTACAAGACCTGCTACACGACCTGCTACACAACCCGCTACACAACCTGCTACACCACCTGCTACACGACCTGCTACACAACCTGCTACACAACCCTGCTACACAACCTGCTACACCACCTGCTACACGACCTGCTACACGACCTGCTACACAACCCGCTACACAACCTGCTACACAACCTGCTACACCACCTGCTACAAGACCTGCTACACAACCTGCTACACCACCTGCTACACAACCTGCTACAAAACCTGCTACACGACCTGCTACACGACCTGCTACACAACCTGCTACACAACCTGCTACAAAACCTGCTACACAACCTGCTACACGACCTGCTACACAACCTGCTACAAAACCTGCTACACAACCTGCTACAAAACCTGCTACACAACCTGCTACACAACCTGCTACACAATCAGCATTTTACCGACAGACTTAGAATGTAAAATGCAGCCAAGTCAATCATGTTCCCCCGTTGGAATAGAAATGCAGCCAAGTCCCTGATCAGCGCAGAAACAATGGTTAGGGACAAACAGCCTCTAAAGAGGTAGAGCGCAGGGCTGCACCATCAGAGTCTGATTTATTACAACAACATGAGAAACACTTCAATGCTACATTTCAAATGTTTACAATCCATCACTAAATTCATGGCATACCAATTTCAACATCAAGGCAAGGCAAGTTTATTTATATAGCACTTTTCAACACAAGGCAATTCAAAGTGCTTTACAAAAAATGAAAGAGATTAAGAAAATGGCATTTAAAATCAGTCATTAAAAAGAAAAGCTAATAAAAATAAACATTAAAAGAAAAAATACATGGATAAAAGTTACAGTGCAGTCTAAGATATGAATAGTTCAATTAAAAGCAGCGACAAAAAGAAAAGTCTTCTTGCTGGATTTGAAAGTAGTCAGAGTTGCAGCGGACCTGCAGGTTTCTGGGAGTTTGTTCCAGATATTTGGAGCATAATAACTGAACGCTGCTTCTCCATGTTTAGTTCTGACTCTGGGGACAGAAAGCTGACCAGTCCCTGAAGACCTGAGAGATCTGGATGCTTCATCATTTAGCAGGAGGTCAGAAATGTATTTTGGGCCTAAACCATTCAGTGCTTTATAAACCAGCAGCAGTATTTAGAAATCTATTCTTTGACACACAGGAAGCCAGTGTAAAGACTTCAGAACAGGAGTGATCCACTTTCTTAGTGTTAGTGAGGACTCGAGCAGCGGCGTTCTGAATCAGCTGCAGCTTCCTAATAGATGTTTTAGTGAGACCTGTGAAGACACCATTGCAGTAGTCGAGTCTACTGAAGATAAAAGCATGGACACGTTTTTCCAGATCCTGCTGTGACATTAGTCTTTTAATCCTAGATATATTCTTTAGGTGATAGTAGGCTGATTTAGTAACTGTTTTAATGTGACTGTTGAAACTCAGGTCAGAGTCCATGACTACATCTAGATTTCTGGCTTTATCTGTTGTTTTGAACATTGCACACTGAAGCTCAGCGCTAACTTTTATACGTTCTGCCTTGGCTCCAAAAACCATTACCTCAGTTTTATCTTTGTTTAATTGGAGAAAGTTCTGACACATCCAGTCATTGATTTGTTCAATGCACTTACTCAGTGTTTGAATTGGAGCATAGTCTCCTGGTGAAATTGTCACGTAAATGTGTGTGTCATCTGCATAGCTATGGTAACTTATTTTGTTGTTCTTCATTATCTGAGCCAGTGGTAGCATGTAGACGTTAAAGAGAAGAGGCCCCAAGATGGAGCCTTGAGGAACCCCACATGTCATATTTGTCAACTCAGATGTGTATTTACCTTTAGAAACAAAGTTGTTTCTGTCCTTTAAGTAGGATTCAAACCAATTCAGAACTGTTTCCGAAAGTCCCACCCAGTTCTCCAGTCGGTCTAGTAATATGCTGTGGTCAACAGTGTCAAACGCAGCACTGAGATCTAATAATACTAACACTGAAGTTCTGCCACTGTCTGTGTTTAAGTGGATGTCATTAAAGACCTTTACAAGAGCAGTCTCAGTGCTGTGGTTTGGACGAAAGCCTGCCTGGAACACATCAAAACAGTCATTTAAATGCAAGAAATTACTCAACTGTTGAAAAACAACTTTTTCAATGATTTTACCTAGAAATGGGAGGTTTGATATGGGCCTGTAATTGTTCATTACTGAAGCATCTAGATTATTCTTTTTAAGAGCGGTTTAATGACTGCAGTTTTCAGGGCCTGTGGAAAAATACCTGAGTGAAGAGATTTGTTTACTATATGAAGTAGATCTGAGGCCATGCAACGAAAAACATCTTTGAAAAATCCTGTTGGAATAATATCAAGGCAGCAGGAGGAGGATTTCAGAAGTTGAATAATGTCCTCTAGGTTTTTATCATTAATCTGATGGAATTGTGTCATGATGTCTGAATTGATGTTAAGTGGAGATAGGGACAACACATTTGCTGTTCCTGATGCAGAGGCACTGACTGCTTGTCTGATTTTCTGAATGTTGTCAGTGAAAAAGGAGGCAAAATCATTGCACACCCTGGTGGATAGAAATTCAGAGGCTACTGACACTGGGGGGTTAGTTAGTCTGTCGACGGTAGCAAACAAGGCACGTGCGTTGTTTTTGTTTTTGGTAATGATGTCAGAGAAGAACGATTGTCGTGCGTTTTTCAATTCCAAATTATAAAGGCCAAGTCTCTCTTTATAGATTTCAAAGTGAACCTGGAGATTTGTTTTTCGCCACCTGCGTTCAGCTTTTCGACATTCTCTTTTTTCTGTTCTCACGGTCATGGCCTTTCTCCATGGAGATATTTTCTTGCCAGACACTTCCTTTACCTTAGTTGGAGCAATGGCATCTATAACATTTTTAATTTTTGAATTAAAATGATCTACTAGCTCAGGGGTGGCCAACCAGTCAGAGGTTAAGAGCCACATTTTTTCTATGTTACTGCAAAGAGCCACATCAAACACACAGTCACTGATACCGCTTGTTTCCGTTTTTTTGTTTTCTGGAGACAAGATTTCAACCACGTCACTGATGCATTTTTGTGGCATTGGGATATATTTTTTTTAAATCCTCTGGAGCAGAGAGAGGAGCTGTGGATTATTGTTATTGATTAATGCATCAGTGTTTCTTAGGGTCAAAAACACTAAATTCACAACTTAAAATGAAAGCGTTTAGTTTATTTAATAAAAGAGCACATGTTCAATGTGAAAAGTGACAGTAGTTATAGATTATTTGCAATTTGGTGCTATATATATTTTTTAAACACCTTGAATTTCAGGGGGGGGCGCGGGGCTCCGTTGGCGGGGCGCAGCGCCCCTCCAAAACAATGGTAGGGGAAACACTGGATATTGTTTAATCAACGATAGGTTTCCCCCCCTCAAAGGTGATTGGTTCACTGCATCGCAGGTATTATTGTGATTGGCTCTTGGGCCACATCAAAATTAGACTTGCTGTCATCCTCTCATACTGACACCTGACACCACACATACACACCGGGAGCTACGAAAGTAACACGGGACGAAAGTAACGGAGCGATTTTATCCGATTCCAAACAACTTTGACCGGCCAAATTACGTTAATACTTAACAGACCTACTAAATATCAGGTTTAACTGTCAGGAGTAGTGTTGTCACGATACCAACATTTTGGTTTTGATACCAAGTCAAGAATTGCGATTCCGATTATTTTTCGATACTTTTCTTAAAAAACAGTCTTAAATGTAATTATTGTGCTTTATTTCACACCAGAACCATAACCATAACACAAACTTTTAAACAATGAGAACAATAAATTAAATAAATGACAAGATTTCCTATTAAATAAAATTAATACATTTCTTACAGACAGGCCTCGTGGTGTCCGCAGTGGCGACTGGTCATTAGGGGCAGGTGGGGCACAGCCCCACCTAGTGTCAGCAGAAAGTATTAAAAGTAATGATTACAAAAAAATGCAAAAAATAAATTAAAAAATATATTTTAAGATCATGTTTAATCATCTGATTCGTCTGTACATTGCTGTTTTAGTCTGTGTTCTTCTAATTAGTGTCTACAGTGTGTGCCTATTGAGCTGTTTTGAGCCATGTGGGACAAAACCCGATCCTGCCCCTCCCTCTCCCTGTTTAAGTCAATGGTGACTGTAAAAACTACACTGCGCATGCTCAGAGTATTATCCTATTTAATGTGTGTGGCAAAAAAATAATGACCATAGGGGCATAGAGCTGCCATCCCCACCATACGTCATCTCACATCATTCAGAGCTGATTGGCTGTAAGTACGTGTGCCGCGAAAAGTGTGGTGTGTGAAGAGCAGGTGAAGAGGAGGAGAGAGATACGTCCTAAAACCCAGAAATAAACTGCGCATGGATCTTACTAAGAGAGAACAATTCAATATTTAAATGATACAATTACATGTGTTGGGTATCCTTTTGTTGAACTGTCTGTTTAAAATTAATTGAAGCATCAGACTAAAGAGGCTTTTGAAAATAATATTATATTTTGATTTAGGTCAAAATATAATATTTGTAAACC